CCAGTATTTTCTAGAGGTATCATCATTTTTGTTCAGGCATGTTTCACAAGTTTAATTTTTAAAACCGTTATAAAATGTTTATTATTACTTTTGTTAATTCAAGTTTTTTCTGTGACTTTTTCTCATATTAACTGAGGGGTACCAACCATTTCGTCCATGTGTGTATGTAACATGCTTTTTTACTTACATGGGGCCCATATGATTAGGAGACAGGCTTAAAATAGGTCCCATAGGCCCATGGTAATTATATAGGTTTGATGCAGGATGGCTGTGGAAAGAAAAAATGTCCGACCTTTATGGATCCTAATGTTCAGAACTGAGTTTATTTTGGGAATGCCTCTTGGAGACAAAACTAAGACCTATTGGTTCTACATGCATGGATGGTTTGTATTTAATCATCCCAAAGAGGATATTAGGAGTGTTTGTTATCAAGCAACTTTTTTGAATGTGGCAGGTTAAAATGAATAGAAATAAACTGTCTACATATTCAGTTTAAGAACAATAGAATAAAAGTATATTTATTTACTGTACTGGGTGTGAAAGTGAAAATATGCAATAAAACAACATGAAAAAGAACTAATTGAACTTTACAGCCAATGTGGAAAACATCCTGGAAAGGAAAACGATGCAAGGTTCCTACTAAAAATGCTTACCGTATATCAGTAAAATTGAGTAATGCTCCTGTTAGAAAAGAAACAGCAGCTGTTCTACAGAGAGATGGAAAAACTGCTACGTATAAGCATGATTGCAGAAATAAAACAACGTCCAGAGCAGCTAAAAAAACTGCAAATATTCATTATTGTCGTTAATGAAATGCAGATAAAAGGCATGTTGTGGAAAAACACTTATTCAGCAAATTAGGAAGAGTAGAAATAATGAAAAAAAGCAGTTCTTGATCAGATAATTAAACTGCAAATAATACTGATTGTACACATGTTGAAAAATAGGAGTAGTGAGGATTTTAAAATCTAATAGCCGAGGTAGGAAAGATCTGTGGCGGTGCTCCTTTGTTGATTTAGACATTTTTAATGAGTAAAGATAAAACAGAACATGATTTTTTCCATCCACCCCTCATAATACAGAATCATCGGCTGCTGTCACGGTTACGGAGAGACAAACTCCCCTCACCTGCACTGCTCTCTTTCACCGATGTTTAACCTTTCAAAAATACAGATGTGAGAGCAAAGTAAACCAGGATGAGGAAAATGATGACATATGTTGTGTTCTTAGCAGCTGTTTAGTGACACTGTTCAGGATTCAGCAGGACTCAACATCCCAAGCATCAGTCCTTTCTGGTTTGGAATATTATGTTATGGTTTTTCTGGTGATTGTTAATGTGGAGTTCATAATAACTTACTTCATATTTTTTATATTGATTTATATTTTTTATATATATTTGTATTTATATATTTAATTCATGCATTCATTAAAAGTAAACATAACAAAACCTGTGCAGGTGAGAACTGAATGAAAGGAGCAGAAAGAATTAAAAACATATCTGCCCCCATTTTCAATAAAGTATTATTTATTTAACATATATAATTACAACCATACAAAAAACAAAAAATATCACCATGTAGATCAATAAACAGAAAGCAAAAAATAAAATAAATACCAACTATATATCAGCCTATCCACTGTCATATGGACTCATCAAAATGACCTTCAAGTTTAAACACAGAACAAGTTTCAGCCTTGACTCACTAATAAGCTTACATTGTTTCATCATCACTGTTGTGTACTTTTTTTGAACGTACACAACAGTGTTTGATTTTTTGAAAATATCTGTTCCTTCTAGGTTATACTATGTCTCTTTTTGAAAAATCTGTATTGAATATTGTTTGGTCATACTTCTTTATGCACTTTAGACATGAATTTAAAAATATATGATTAAGTTTTAAGGGGTAATAAAATTTCAATGTATTTAACTGAATAAATATCTGATTTGTGTTATCTCTGTTTCCACTTATAACTCTTATGGCTCTCTTATGTAATAAAAAGAGAGGTTTTAAATGTGATCTATACAGAATGTGCAAGGCTTTTTCATTTAGGAATTCCTTTATCTAGCTTTAAACAGCAATAGTTTTCAATATTCTCAGTTTTGTATGATCTATGTGAGGTTTCCATGTCAATTATTCAACAAGAACACTAATAAACTGGACTGTTTGTATATGTTGTATGTAAACATTATCAAAATATATATATTTTTTTACAACTAAAAATATGAATTTGTTAATATTTATTTATTCTTATTGTAAGGAATAAATAGGCAGAGATCAATGATGGAAGAGTTATCAATAAAGTTTAATGACATTGAGATTAATGCAGATGAGTGCTGCTTTTTCATAGCTCTCATAATAGAGCTTTATGAGCATTCAATTATTTATTAATGTTTATTAATGTTTAATTATTAATGTAATTTACCATATACTGTATTTAAATAGTTCTTAATTACACCCTTCACCCTGTGCCCGTTGGTCGATATTAGAGTAGACATGAATAACTGTGCAATAACTGGCTTACGCACAGACTCAAAAACTAAGGTCTTTTAGAGAGCAGGGGGTGCTCCTAAAGACCTTCTATGACTCTGTCATGGCATCAGCAATCTTCTATGGAGCTGTCTGTTGGAGCAGTGGCTTATCTGTAGCTGTAAGGCCAGCTCTGTGATTGGATGCTCTCTGGACTCAGTTTAGGAGGTGGGAAACAAAAGGATCCTAACTAAATTAACATCTCTGTTGGAAAATGTATGCAACCCCATGAATGAAGCTGTTGCAGAGTTCCTTCAGTGACAGACTGCTGCACCTTAAATGCACCATGGAGCGTTATCACAGATCCTTCTTTCCAGCAGCTGTAAGACTTTATAACCATCACTATTCCCAGCAACCTCAATAAGTTGTTACAGTCATGCTGATTTTGCATTTTCTGTATTGGTCAACTAAATAACATGTTGCCTGTCATTTTGCACATCTCTGCTGTTGCTACTATTTTCAAATGTCCATTACTGTAAAAATGTCCAC